TATCTTACTATGTCTAGATTATCAGTGTTTAATGTAAACAAATACACAGAACATAAATACTGAGAGCAATTAAGCAGCAAATCAGGAATTGAGATCTTTGAGATCTATGCTTTAAAGACACTTGGAAGAACTCGGTATTATTCTTTCTGGAAATTGTTTTTAAGTATATTGCAAGGAGACAAAATTAATCATATCCTTAAATCCTTTGGAAATAGAGTAGGTTTCAGAGTTAAAAAAAGCACTGTAGTGGTATTGTGAGAAGCAACATTAATAGGGTTACAATCCCTCTCAGTTTTTGTCATGCTCCCAACGCTACATACACAGGTGTGCTCCTACCTTTTACATTTTGGAAAGACACTGAGTCTACCAAACAGTATGTTTGAAGTCAATATGTCCATAACCAAAGTTCCAGACATATGCACACATGAAGCAGCAGAAAAAGCCTTAAAAATTGGACTTGCTAAATTTTAAAAGTCAAGCCAATTTTTAAAGCTTGACTTTAAACACATAAGAGTCCCTCACTTCTCCTCTAACATTCACCTGCCCTCAAAAATACGGAGGGGGTTTTAAGACAAAAATCTTTTTTCCCCTTATTTAAAATCTATACTTCTTGTTCAATTTAAAATCAGGGACAGAATTAAACTTTTCTTAATGAAAGAACTACTGGTTATATGCACTACAAACATCAGCAAGTACTAAAAATGTCTTCTAGATTTCACGGCCCAGTTGTCTGATCCAGAATACTAATTTGTATAATGCACAATGTATAAACAAAATGAACCTGCACTGTAGAAATCTGAAATGCAATCTCGAGAGTGCTTAATTTACCTCCTAGGACCCAAATCAGGGGTTGAGATCTGCACTCCGTGCTCTTCTTTTGGGTATAGAAGACTCAAGTCGTGGAAACTTCACTGAGACAGAATAAACTATTTCTATAGTTAAAATAAAATCATGTGAATTAAATATATCTGATCTTGTTTTCCCTTATATCTAGCACTCCTGGAAAGCTATGTCAAAATTTGCATTCAAGATGCTGACCAGTAATGTACGTTTTAACTTACTGTGGCAAATAGAACTTTGTGCCATATGGCTGATTAGAGATATTCTCTCTCTTTTTCTTCTCCTCTAAACAGCTGGGTGAGTAACAACAAGCAAAAGACAGTCAGCAGCTGCACACTGTTATCATTACTTTGATACTGCTTGAAGGAATCTAAGCCTTCCACAGGTATGCACCTGAGATTAGAGGCAAAGAATTTTCCTCTCTAAATATGAGAGGAAGCAGCTATGGGAGTTATAATTATGTTTTACAGGTGTCATCAGAACAATGCTTCCAAATTTTACCCAGAACAAACATACTCTTTTTCTATTTTGTGATTGAATTTTTCAAAGACCTTCAGGGAAAAGATATTATTGTACAAAGGCAACAACAGTGAGTAAATAAGTATAAAGGCAAACACTTCTATTGCAGACTTCCCAACTTTATCTATTTCACCCATGCAACTTCAGTAGTTATCCAATAGGATCTGCAAACAGAGCATTAACCGTTCAAGCTCTGTGTTTGATTACTGTGTACCAGGGATTCCCAAGCTGGAATTCCACTGCACCCCCCACAGCTGGCAGAGCCCTTGTTGGTAATCAGAGGACAATTAATGAGCCACGTGGCTCTGGCTCCTCATAAGTCAAAAGATATTTGGAAAGGATAATGGCTGTAGGAACTTCACCTAATATTACTTTCTGTGCAACCAGTGTTTTAGTGGCCACAGGAATGCCTGATCTGGAAGAGCATCAACTGCAGCTGGAGCTAAGTGGGAACAGGGAACTTGAAACAACAGGTGGGACATGTTGCATAAGGACATGTTGCATATGGACACCCCCCGGGGCCACACAGCACAGCTTCCCTTCTACCCTCCCATCTGAAGGGGAGTGTAATTCATAGCTCTGAGGGATAATGCATTTTAAGTCTTCCATTGCTGCTTTATTATAAGTAAAAAAAACCCCACAAACTACCATGATCATAAAGACGTTTATGAGACAACTGCAGTCAGGTTACCCCCTCTCCCTGAGGAAAGGGACCCCACCTGTGGAGGAAAACAAAGCAAACCCACTTTTTTCAGTTTTCTCCTACAGGGGTTGGGGTTTGGAGATGATCAGGAGAATTTTTTCGGCATCTTTGGATGTTGGTTCTTCCTTCTACATTAAATAAGTGCATGGCAGGAATATTAGCCAGAACAGTACAATTGAGAGAAAAATACACTATCTGTAAGAAAAGCTAATCTTTTTTTTTTTTTTTTTGCATGGTATGTTTGCACTTACAAAGACTTGAGGCTAATTCTCCTCCAGTCATCATACTAAAACTCACCACTAGAGCTATGCAATCAGTCACATGATTAAGAATTTTGAAAGTTCATAATAAATGATGTGTGAAACAGCACAAATCAAAGTAATACTTGCACAGATTTCACAAGCAACTATATTGTGATCTTTTCTCATGTAACTCATGAATAGGAAAATAAAATCCATTGGGTATATAAGGTTTCCAACTAATCAGGGAATGACAATTACAGCACTAATTGTGGTCTTTGTGAATACTGAAGGTCTTTTTCATGCACACACATACATTTTCTGGACAGAAACCACCCTTTTATTGTTGGAAAGCACCTAGAAATCTCTGGACACTACTCTACCAGCAGCTGTGTTATTTTTCTTTAAGTTTAAATTATTGCACATGGCTATCGTTGCTAGGTAGGACTTGGCTTCCAGCATTGTAACACTGATGGCTGAAGTCTGGGCTGGACTATGAAACAAGCAAAAATTCAGAGGTGAAAATTACCTCTGTGGGGGTGGTTTGCATTTGTTAATGCCTTTTTAAAATTATCTTGGATATCTGCTTGAGCAAGGTATTGCCAGTCTCTGCTCTCCAGGCATCCTAGCACTTGTACTCTTGTTGCTTTCAAGTTCAGTGTCACCAAGATACTCTCAGGCAACAGATCATCTAATGAAGAACAATATGATGTCAGTGTGTAATGACTTCTTGAGAAAAAGAGTGATGTTATTCAGCAATACAAAGAGACAGTCTCACTTTCTTCTCAGATAAACAACTTCGTAATGAAAGATTGTTTAGAGGTAAAGAAAAACTGAAGGAAATTTAAAGGGGCATAGCAGCTTGTGTGTTAAAAAACCCAAACACCCACATTTTAAATATTAATAACAGACAGAGCCACTGATTCCATTTCTATTGACAGGAAATTAAAAAATAAACACATAAAAATTCAGATGAGGATTTAAAAAAACATTATCCAGTGACAGACACCAAAGAAAGGAGTATTTCACAAAACACAACATTTACAGAAAAGCAGTCAAAATCATCACTGTGCTCAGGTTTGGCTCCAAATTGCTGCTGTAAACTCACATCTGATGTAACTGATTAAAACATAGTAGATGGCACTGGTATACCATGCAGAACTAGAAGTTTTAAACTACAAATGCTACAAGAGCGTACCTTGATATCTACACAATTCACACCAGTCAAGCAGTATCAGGAAGGCTTGAAGTGTACCTGCCTTACATTTCTTCCTAGTCTAAGTCCACTACACTGCCAAAAAGTGCTAAACATCTGTACTGTAAATGCAAATCAGGTCAAAATCCCTAAAAATCTGTGTATCTTTAGTTCACTAATGCCACCAGTACTCCACGTGCAGCAAAAAGATGGTCATTACAAAAAGATGCCATGAGCAATTTTTAAATAGAATCCATTTACATTTACCAGAATCTTACTGCTAGTCTTGGTTTGTTGTTTTTTGCGTTTTTTTTCCTAATAGTGCTAAATAGTCACTTGGGAAAGTCTGTTATGTACAAGCAGTGCACACACAAGCTTAATTCTTCAGCAACTTCAGACAGGAGTGTAAAATGCAAGCTGGAGTCCAAAGGCAAGGAGGTAGAGCTCTAGTAAATCTGATGCAAAGCCTAATCCGTCTATTGTCTGTACAGTCTGTGGAATATTTGAAAGGGAAGCAAATACACGAGCAAACATTGCATGTTACTTGTCTCAAGGGAAGTTCCGAATTTCTGTTCACCGACCCAGACACAGATAATCAAAGGGAAGACCTTATATACCAAAAACTTCAGAGCAGGTCACTTTTTTGTCCATATCTCTCCTCACATATAGGTTGCATTCCAGTTTATCAGCAGGCTATGCTGTAAAAGAGTCTAAGAAAATAGTAGATGCGATATTTACGCCAGCAAAAACTATTTCTAATGCTAGTTCTGTGCACGCTCTCTTTCAGTATGCAATGGAGTAGATGGACAGCTTTTGTGGTTTCCTATCACTCTGAAGCACAGTGCCTCTTTCCTGGTGCACAATCTTGCAAGTTTTTAGAGCAGTGACATTGCTGCTGTTGGCACTGTCCCAGGCCAACAGACCTGGTTAGCTCAGTGCTAACGCCTACTGAGCTCGATCACTGGTGTGAGACGGGGTCGCACTGACAAAATACCAACCACAAACCTGGAAGACTCTTAGTTCACACTCTTGCCCTTCTAATTTATACTTCAAAAGATAATAATAACTGGTATTAGAACAGGGAATGACTCTATTCTTACTTCACTATGACTTCTGACACGGTAACAGAAAATGAAATAATAAAATAACTGAGTAAAATATATAAAAGAAACACCTACACAATAACTATTACATGCTCAACAGCAAATGGTCAGAATTGTACAGTGTTGCTTTAAGACAGTGAAGAGTTGATGAGACTGGTTGAGAAAAACATGAGCTGGGCCTCTTGCTTATCTTGCACCTGGTTTGAGCAAGACCTCGGAGGTCTCATGGCCCAATGTTGTTGCAGTGAGGCACAGGAGAACATCAAGCCTCAGCACCAACCAATAGGCACACTCTCTTCACTGTGAAAAACAACACTTGTTATAAATCTGTTTCGTTAAGGAGATAAGGATGTGCACAAAGAGCCTCTGATGAAGGTCAGAGAGCCTTTACTGCCGCCTCAGTACGTGGAGGAGGAGGGCCAAAGTGTTTATTCTACCTCTTTTCTCAATTATAAATTCTGACTGAGTAACAGAGACTCTCATTAAGCTCCATTAACATATTAACCTACACATCCCTTGGGATTCAAAAGAAGGAGAACATGGGATCTACGACACATATATGACTAAAGTCACCAAAACCCATCATAACACGAGATTGTTTCATCCCCTTGGAACAGACCAAAACTTATAGTATAAAAGGGGAGCTTCGGGGCAGAACAGGCCAGAAGAGAAAAAACCTTTGGAGAAGGAAAACACCTTTGGAGAGGGAAACCACCTCTGGAAGGGAAAAACACCTCTAGAAGGGAAAAACACCTCTAGAAGGGGAAAACACCTCTGAAGGGGGAAAACATCTCTGCCTGCTCAGGATTTGTCAACAGACTGTCTCTCTTTCTCTCCTGAAGGGACGCCTTTAGGTGAGTTTTGTGCCTCCAACTGTGTTGGAGTATACCCGGGAATATTCATCATATATATATATATATATATATAGTGCTATTAGAATCTCTCTCACTGTACTTTCTGCTGCAGCACACATCAACACTCTGTAGCCAGTGCATTTATCACCGGCAATCCTGAACCTGCTTTCCTGTTGCTTCAATAAAGCTTCAATACACATTCATGAATCTGGATCATGCAAAGTCCTTATTGAACAAGATCAGATCTATATTCCTGGATTGGTAACTGCACTGCTTCTGCATCTGTGCTCATGCAAGTTCTTCTTTTGAACTCGACCAGCCCTATAGTGATTATTGACTATAATCAGAAATTAAGCCCAGCCACACCCAGCCCCTCTGATCTCTGAGGACCAGCTGGAATCCAAGGGGGTTTGCTTTCTACTGATTACCCATACCCTTAATGCAACAACACTCATCCTTCCACAGTATAAATGTCAACTGATGTTCATATTATCCCTTAGAGAAAGAGTCCACCTGTCCCACAGTTTTTTCATGCAGGAGCCAGATTAGAAGGACACTCGTTTTCTGATGGTATCCTAAAAGTAAAAAGCTTATGCCTTCAAGGTTTGAGTACAGTTACAACCTATTTCATTTAATCCTCTGTCTTCAGTATGATTTCACATGTGCAGCTGAGAACCAGTTTTATGCATTTGATTAAATATAATTAAAAATATGACTAAAGAAGCCACTTTCTCTACTAAATATAAGGAAATTACATAAACGAATCAGCTCAAATGTGGTTTTCTTTGTTTCATTTTCATTCAAGAATTTACAGAATTATTTTAAATTGATCTGATGACTCTCACATTGTTTCTATTATACTACCTACTCATCAGTGAGTGTTACTGAATAGAACCCAGTGTCTGAAATGGTCACTATTAAAGAGTCTACCCTACTAAATTTTTTTTAAAACTGACCTTTGGTATATTTATTCTCAATACAGTAATCTTAATTTTGTTTTTGGTTTGTCTCCTATGGACTTTTCTACAAACACAGCAACAATGAAAACAGTTTTGAAACACTACTTCCTCTACTTGCCAAAATTTACTCTACAGTTTAAGAAAGTCCTGCTACTTCAAGTCTGGTATTTTCTTTGGCGATGGAATCTTTTGAAATTCTGACTAGAGCTGTGAAAACCCCCATGATGAATAAGCACAGTAGTGCAGTGTGTTGAGGATGTAACTTCAAAAAGCTTCCCATGTTTTCTAGGCTCACTAGCCTCATCAAGCTAAATTCAAGTCAGCAGTGCTGTTCAAACATGTCAGGAAGTAAAAAAATACAAAAATGTTTAATCAATCAGAATTCTTTCAACAGAAGGACTGTGAACTTAATGCCAGTCAAGGGCAGAAAATAGCTAAAAGCCTAGTAAAACAACAACTGGATCACACACTCACCTACCTTGTAATTGTGGTATCTGAACATACAGCTGAGCATCCTTCTTCCACTGTAAAAAGTTATACTTTGTAAACACCGTAAATTGCACATTTTATACTATGAAATGTTTTAGTTCTGGCCAAATTTGGCTGATAAAAGATCATGTAATGTAATTTTGGGGAAAAATAATATAAAACCAGTGCCCTACACACTCTGATTCTGCATTGCTTTGCACAATCGTTTGTATTTTTGCAAAACACACGTAAATTAGCACAAAGTGCTACTATTCTGATGTGTCTTTATTTCCTTCTGTTAGAGGAACAGGTTAAAAGCAGAAGACTGGAGGGAAAGACTGTAAATCACCTTGCAGCTGGGAATAACCCTTGATAAACCAGTGTGAACAGCAGCCAGTGATCCTGTGGTCTGGACTGAGTTTAACGGTGCCTCTGTCCCTGCTCATGTGCCTCTGCCCGGGCGTTGCTTCAGGGATCCCCCCATTAGTGAGGTAACAGAAATAAATTTACTCTTTGTGTTCTAGCCAGAGTTCGTGTCTGTCCCTGCTGCCTGCCTGTGCCGACTTACACACAGATCCAGGAGCAACCATGCCATGGCTAGCCAAAAAATCAAAAAAGCTGAGAAAGCCGAAAAAGCTGAAAAAGTCGGGCCCTGGGGAGGCTGTGATGGTGAACCCCCACATTCCAGGATGGCCCAGTACTGAGCGCTGGACTCCTGTGGCCACTTTCCTGGCCACAATGGCCACTCCAGAGACATGGCCTGAAATAGATGACGGGGTGGTGGTGAACCCCCACAGGGTCGAGGTTGCCATGCGCGGATTGCCGTGGAAAGCGGCATCAAAGTCCTCCCGCAAGCTAGCAGGGAGACTGGGATGGCTGCTGGCTACTGGTCTCAGAGCTCTAGACCGTGAAGTCATAGCCCTGCAGAGTAAAGTGAGCGAGCTGGAATTACTCACCTATGCCAGAGCTCGTGACTGTGAAGCCATAGCACTGCAGAGCAAAGTGAGGGAGATGGAATTGGTTACCTACGCTAGAGCTCTCGAACGGGAAGTTACAGCGTTGCTGAGTAAAGTGAGAGAGCTGGAAAAGGAAGTTGTGACTTTACAGGCTGCAAACGTGATCGCCCATGAAGTCACTACCACTCAAGCAGAGCAGTGCTATGAGCAGCAATGCACTATACAGCAGCTGGTGTCACCTAGGCATAAATACGTGGAAAATAAGGTTTTGATCTCCCAGGTTCGTGCTCCAACTTTGAAATCTTCACGGGATCCCAAGGAATGGGATGGAAATATCTGGAGTGAGTACTCAGATTTTGAGATTGAGATTTAGTCAGAGTTAGCAGATAGGGATGTGGTATAGATCACACATACTTATACTCCAAAAGAGTTTCAATTATACACTCCTAGACAAGGAAATCCTTTTGAATTAGAAGTAATAATTCTAGATGATATAGTCTTGTGGGGATTGAGGCAGATGACTGGACCAAAAGATAAAAAAAAATCTGTAGAATTTTGGTCCAAGGCACTGCTATATATTTTACCCCAATGGGAAAATTAATTCAAAATATAGCTTGAGCAGTGCAAGAAACTGAAAGAATCACAGGCCAAGATAGTGTGACTGTACACCTTCAGTACGAAACACAGTGAGGACCAGAAATCCTCCAGATAGTGTCTCTCCCAAAATATTAGCCAAAGGGAAATTGAATTTTACACCAATGGATCCTACAACCTATTAATCTAGATGTGACCATTCATATAATAACCCCTGACAATACAGTATGGTTCTCTACTCTGTCTATTCCCCTTTATTCTCCATCCTCTGTTAATATCATATTCTCAAGTTCTTGTATTTCATGTGTCTTTGATGATTTCCTGTGCATTATCTAGGGGGGGTGCATTGGAACTATGTTATTGGTGTCACAAACCCAACATCCAAACAAAATTCAATCTGAAAAAGGGCAAGCCACACGTCTCCAATCTGTGTGGGCAATTACCCCATCTCAAGTTACCAAGCCTGGAGCAATATTAGCTGAAGGAGCTGGAGCAACAGCGTATATGTTACAGGACAGAGATGACACTCTTCTTTTCCTCCCTTACCACAGGCTGGCTTCTTGTGCTTTGTAGGCTTGTACCATGACAGCATATCTTATATACATTTCTGCAAAATCAATATGTAAATACTTGTGTGTGGTTGTTTTTTACTGTAACTAATGTCTTATTATTCTTTCTGAGAAGTGACTATAGACCAGCTGGCTTGTGCCCTCGTGGCAAGGTTTAACTGGGACATCCAAGGCAGCTGTTGCCTTAAATTTGGGAGTAACTGCTGTATACCTTACAACATCGATTACTGATGAGCTACGTCGCCCTTCAACATCATAAATGCTGTTCTGAGTTTGAAGGCATGTGTTGCTTTGACCTGCAGAACCAGTTGGCATGGAGGATATCATTCAAGATCTTCAGGACTACATCTAATCACACAACCTGTCGGTGGTGCCTGGCTAACTGGGTGGTTTACTTCCCTGGCAAGAGGGGTGGGACACTTAAAGCATTATATGCTTATATGTTTGTTCCTTTTCCCCTATGCTTCAAGTGCCTCTGCAAATCTCCTATCCCACATTTCCAGCCCCAGCAGCAGTGGTCTCTTGAGGAAGGGGGTTGCAAGTTGGGAGGAATGGGTTAAAAAGCGGAAGACTGGCGAGGAGGACTGTAAGTGGCTCGAGTGACCTTGCAGCTGGGAATAACTCTTGATAAGCCTGTGTGAACAGCAAGCCAGGGATCCTCTGGCATGGACTGGGTTTAACGGTGCCTGCATCTCCCCTAGTGCACTTCTGCCCGGGTGTTGCTTTGGGGATCCCCCAGTTAGTGAGGTAATAGAAATAAATTTACTCTTTGCATTCTAGTCCTGAGTTTGTGGTCGTCTTGGTTGCCTGCCCGTGCCAACTCACACACCTACCCACTGTGCAGAGGTGTCAGTGATGTCACACTGTGCATGGGAGTAGAAAATCAGGCCCCACATTCTCTAAAGATACATTAGCACAGGCTCCTGTGAAAGGATAAGCAAGGACACTAAAACCACTGAGGAAAAGAACAATAATGTTTTCAATTGATAATGCTATACATGTTCTTAGTAATGAGTCTCTCTCTCAACTCACTCTAAGTAAAGCAATTGGCATGTTCTTTAGATAGAGCAACAGTACAAATACAGCTGTGTATATCTGACACACAAGCGTTTGATTTTGGACTTGCTGAATGTTCATATAGTTGATGAGATCACTTCAGTGTTGCTGCATATAAAAAGCAAGGTATCTGTAGCATGCCTAATTCTGATACTTATCACTCTCCTCAATAAACTGGGAACCTGCACCAGGGTCACTCCTGTGCACCTTTTCTTGCCCTAAGATACATTTGCAAAAAATTGCTATTCACCACAGGGAGCTGGGAGGAGAATGCCTGGGAATTGATGGGCATCAATTGTACCCACAGCTGTGAGTTCTTCAGTTTCTGGCTGCTGCAAACGTACTTTCAGGTCTTTTCACAGTTCTTTCAGTGCAAAAGAAATGGAGACTATTCCTTGGTGTTATTTCAGCAGTTTCACTGCCTTCGATTTCTCTCCCCATGTTCAGACAGCTACTGAACCTGTCACCCATATAAAGACAGAGCAGAACACAAAAGATAGCACAATCCTACCATCAGACACTCTCTTAAATATAGACAAAGTTGCTGTGTCAAGATTTAATATAAAAGCTAGTGTATATGATGTTTTGGTAGATAGGCATAGTATTTTCCTACCTTTCCTATGTCAGGATTTCACAGCTACCTCTGTGCTATTGCACTGCCCAAGTCATATGTCCTTGTCCTTTTAGTGTCAATGAAAAAGAGTTTGACTTTCATTGCAAAGTATCAGTATGTTCAATGATAAGACTTAAAAGAAACTGCCGAAGAGACAGCAATAGAAAGTGTTCTCCATTTGTCCACTACTACTGCTTGTCTTTTCAGTAACATTCACTTTCATTCCTTATCCCTCTTTCAAAGTTCATTATAATTACACTATAGTGGTCCCATCCAAAAAGTCAGCATTTACACATAGGGACTAAATAGTGGCATCTAAGAAACCACGGTATTATTTTCACACAGAGTAGGAAATAACTGTGGTGACCTTGATACCATTGAGTGGTAAATGTGGTTCTATGTTGCCTTAATGTTCACTGTACTGGCACCATAACTGTTTTAAGAAAACAAACAAAATTATAGAATTATAGAATACTTGATAAACTTCTCCCCTTCAGAATTCAGTGCCTACTTTTTCAGTGACAGAATAACAAGGAATATATTAATCATACCAGATATCTACTTGATTAAAGATATATGCAGACATATAAAACCACATATTTAGTTCCATAAGATTAAAATAAAGGTTCTGGAATATACAAGAGAACAGTAACTGTCAACTTTCACGTCTGCAATTTTTCCTCTTTACATATATGGCATCCTTATACACCCATCCTTTTCCAGCTACTAATCAAAATCAAAGATGTTCTGTTCTTTCCTTGAATTCTCTACAAATTATGAAAAATGGCAGTTTGCTTTTCTTTTGTTCACAGAAAGCTTTGAATCACCTTTTGGTCTCCGTCAGATCATACCTGGTATTCCATAAATCTCCCAGGAAAGTGTGAAGTATTTAAGGTGGATGCTTAAGACATTTCAGAAAGTCTTTTTGGATTTGCTTCTGTCCCTCTCTGAATAGTTTTGTTAGATCATTAAAAGGGAAAAATATGCAGTTTTTGATAAATAGACTACTCCCCTACCTCAGTGTTAGATAAGATGTGAGTAGACCAGTTTTTAATTACGTTAGCCTATGATATATGTGGTAAGGCATTCCTAAAAATGTAATGAAGAGGTCATCTAAAACGAGACACAGCTAGAAATCAGGACAGAAATGAGCAGGAAGCACAGCTGACAGAAGTAGAACTGTATAAATCCCACTTACAGCCATTCTTATAAAGCACATTTAAAAAATAAGTAGCAGTAACTCTACTGCACATTTTGTACATTTTCTAACTAGAGAGATCCTTAACATTAACACCACAGTGTCTCTGTTGGTCTAGAAAGATCAGAAATGAGCTCAAAACCCCAGACATGGCCAAGAAGTCCTGCCCTTAACTTCTGCCTCCTACACTTTAGTTTAATATTTAAACAAGCCCCAAAGTAAGGCTGTGTCCTCTCGAGGTCTCTGGTCATGCTTGAGGACAGTGAAAGTTTAAGGTACAAAAAAATCCAGAGAGAAGTGGGAAATAGTCTAGAAATAATGAGTGTGTTTCATAGCAGAAGAAAAAGGAGTATCATTCAGGGACGAATAATTCCATGGAAGGAGCGGGGGGAGAGGGAAGAGAAGCCTGCAGAGGCCACACTGGCACTGTGGGAAAGCTGTGGTCACCCCAGCTGGGGGGTGGTAAGATCCCACCACGGCTTCTTTCCACCTAGCATGCATGCCATGCCCACCTTCCCACCTTTCTGGGGTTCAGAAGGCAGGGAGGGAGGGTCTGGGACCCTGCCAATGCCCACACCTACAAATGCCCAGCACTGCCTGTGCATCTCAGGTGGGCCTGTGCTGTGAGAGGCATTTTGGTTCTTCAGGGACTCAGGCTGTCCATGACTGAGCTCCTAGGAATGTCACACTCCATGTGATTGCTGTGTACAAATAGAAAATACTCAGAATAATAATAATAATAAAAATAAACAGAAAATACACCGGTATATCAGCCTCTTCTTGGACCCCTGTCTAATGTCTCCTTCCCCCTCACTCACTCATATGCTAGCCTATGAAACTGCAGCCAAGTTTCTGGGTTTTATTTAAACCCCAAAGTAACTGTCCTATAAACTTTGAGACCACCTAAACTGCAGCTAGACTGGGCAGTAAAGTCTTTGGAAGTACAAGCAGGGAACCTTCATCTGAAATAAGGAAGAGCATTAAATTGGTACCATCAACTAGATCAAGCCATGACTAGAAAAGCTGCCACAAGTGCAGGCTGGGTTTGCTAGGGACAAGGGTGGAGGGATACTCCACAGATGGGAACTGAGTTAGCCAAAGTCTTCTTAAATTCCACTTGAGTATCACCTGCTGATGCAGGTATAAAGCCATGAGCAGCAATGGCCCTGCCACAGGTTCTCCAGGAACCCTCAGATGCAGCTATCACACAGATATGAAATGGGTCAGATTTCATGTCTCTATTTTTTGTTCAGGAATTCTCTCTGCACCCCTCATAGAACTGGAAGAGCTACCAACTCAACTCCAAGCCAGCCTGCACAGCAGGGGCAGCAGGGAACAAGCTCAGTTCCAGCAACCACATGAGCTTGCCCTGTATCAGGACATGCTGGTAATGCTCTTTAGTTCAGCCCTAAGACAAGCTTTTGTTACCAGAAAGGTAGGTTGGAGGTGTAGCCACCTCTATTTTTAAGCCCTAGAGACTTGCTTTTATAGACCAGTAGTAATGACAAATGTCAGCTGGGAGTGACAGCAATGCTTTGGGGAAAAAAAGGAGAGTCCTGTTTCTCTGAGCTGCCAAGTGACAGCAATTCAAGCCACAGGGTACAGATTCCTTTATCAATATTCACCTGTTCTTTCACCAAGAAGATGGGCCATGTAATTTTGCCAGAATGATTCAGGACTTCAGGATCCTTATCCTCAGAAAAAGTCAGTATTTCTGAGACTTGTGGAACTTATTCCAGGCTTGAGGACTTGTACTCTGACTTGGGGGGTGATACTAAAACACCAAGGCAGGCTCATAAAACCCTGTAGGATTCAGATGCTCAAATCAGTGCCAGACTTCTTGGAAAGGCAACACTGGGCTGGGCTACATTTTCAGTTTTCTCCACACTGTATTAGAGCCCACTGTAATAGTTTAATGGTGCCCCTCTAAGCTGTGAGAGTGGCCTCAACAAATGCCAAGAAACAACCTATAAATAACACTGAGATGCAACAGAAATACACTGTGGGTTCAATATGCCAGAGACCAGTGAAACCCATTTACCTAGAGATACATGGACACACACAGAGACTGCAATCTGAGGGTTAAACACAAAACTGAGATTTAGGCTTTTTTCCCTGGCGACTGAAAATACTTTTTTTTATGTGATCACATTCTCAATACCAACAGACCACATTACTAGAATGTGTCATAAGAGAGGCAGGAAAGAGAATCTGTGGCCTTTCCTTTGCAACAGGACTTGGACATTTGCCTCGTACCAACTCACTGTGTACCTCTCCAGAGCTCATAAAGCACGAGACACGACAGGGAGGTGTTTTCTTATTTTTCTTAGTAGAGTGCCCTTTTGCAGCTGTTACTCATAATGGAGTACAGCCTGACAGTGGCAATGTTTGGGCTAATTCTATTATTTCACCAGTGTTAGTGGAATTGATCCTAGATTTACAGCAATGCACCTATAAATAAAACCTAGCTTTTCAAACATCATTAATTAATGTTATAACGTCAAAACATTACCAAAGATACTTAGCTATAGTGTTTCTACTTGTAAAATAAGCCTCTTAAAGTTGCTTTTTATGTCTTGAAGTAAAAGGAAATGAGTCTGCAATTAAGCCAGTGTGAAAATGAAAAGGAAAAAAATAAAAAAAAAAATAAAAAAATAGATTTGGGACCACAGTGATGATCCCCACAAGTAAACTCTGACCTTTCAACAGAGATGGCAATTTTAGGCATTATGTAAGAGTAAAAGCTGACTCTTTGCCAGGTTATTAGTATAGGCCTGCACCCGCAGCAGCTTTGATGTAAGTACTTTCCCAAATGTCTAGATGTACACAGCTTTAATACACACAACTCAAGCTTCTGTAAATCTCTTACAAACATGGAGCAGCATGTACAGTATTCCATATCAGGGATTGAAAGGCTGCATATGGTGCTCAGTTATAACAGCTGAGCTTTAAAAAACTGCAGCTTTGCATCTTGCTGAACCTGATACCAAATGAAGCCAACAAAGACAGAAAGAAAAAAAGGAAGAAAGGCAGGAAGAGAAAATGCCTATATTAAATAGAATTTCTACAATAAAAGTTCCGTTTGCCATTCTCCAGGACTGACAAATTTGCCAAGGTAGTGCTTGTTGCCTGCGGTTCTCAAGCTCAATATTTGCAACTATTTCACAAAGTAAAATATCTTCAGCCAGGGGAGGGGAAAAATATTTTCCCTACCTCTTCCCATGCCCTGGTTGGCAAAGT